CGCCACAAGTGTCGTCCTTGTCTGTCTGCACGTGGGCCACAATCACATCGACAGTGTCTGGAAGTGCACGGGGTCGCTCCAAAAACTCTAGGCTGTCACTTTCTTGGGACCAGTACCGGATCCTCGTGGTGACGGGTCCCGGGGGCGAAACATCCACGAGCTTGAAGTGCATCACCTGCCCCTCTGACAGCAAAGCTGCCGCAATGTTGACACCATCCGGTATCCAGGTCATGACAGTCGCCTGTGGCAGGAAAGGCGGAGAATTTTTGCATTGGCTCTTACTCTTGGCTGAGACTTGACTGCCAACCCCAAGCAGGCCTGAGTCATGATGTGCTTGTCACCAAAGAACAGCACTACGCAGGCCTGTGAGCAGAAAATGTCAGTCTGGCAGCTGTCGCGTTGGCATATTGGCATGGATACTGTACTCCGTCAGTTAAAGAATGGCAGACGATGGCTTCAGCTGCTTTTGCTGATCGCGTGCCTTACTCGGGTATGTCGACACGGCTGAAATACAGCAACAGGCTCAGGCTGTCAGTAGATCCTGGCTATGCGCAAAACCGGCCATGAAAAGCTTGCGGTGCTTACGAAGAATCATTAGTTTCAGGCCCCAATCTGCTGCAAGCCGAGATCGCTGCCCAAACCTCCTTAACAGCCTGGCAACACACATCGATGCAGATCTCAGGAACTGTCCGAGTCAGATGATGAGGACTCGCCCGTGCCGGTCGGCTCTGCACCGGACGCCATCTGCTTTGCAGATGGCTGCGAAGTGTCTGTGCCAGCAGATCCTGTGTCCACTGTACGCAGCGCCGGCAGGCTCTCCGATTCTTGCGACTGTGACGGCGCCTCAGCTTGCGATGATGCCAGAGTCACCGGAGACTCATGTGCTTTCTGGGGCGATTTCACGGCATCCATGTTACGCAGCTCCCCGCCCTGTACCAAGCTCTTCATGATGAACAGCAGCACAGACTCCGACAGCACGCTTTTCTGCAATGCCGAGAGCACAACTCCCAAATACTTTTGGTTCTCACAGCAGCAGGCTGCGGCCATGATACCCGACCCCGCGGCCAAGTCGAGCACGAATCGTTTCTCACTCTCTCCGGTCATGCCCCAAAGATTGAGGTACTCCCGGCTCTGCTTCAAACTCGTGCCAAACGGGAACAGTGGCACGTACTTGGTCGAGCCCTCCTTGTCAGTCGCGATGTCGGTTGCCTTGTGATCCTCCTCTTCCGAACCTGACCCGTTATACTGGGCCTCCTTCCCCATGTCGTAGAACGTGCTTGCAATCGTTTCCGCAAGGTCCTGCTTCAGTGTGCACAGTGCCAACTCGGACGGGGTCTTCAGCGACCTGAGCAGTAACTAGGAAACAGCAACTCCGTAGTCCTAGATGCACTCACTGCATGTAGGACTTCTTTGCTGGTCGGAGCACAGATTTGGCATGCCTCGGCTGCACGTGTCTGCTTCCAGGCCCACATACTTTCTGTCACGTGCTGGCAGGGATCCATCCTTCCTGGTATTGATCAAGAATAGGTTCTCCAATGGGTCTGGGAGGGCAGCATGGATCGCTGCTTTGTTTCTTGTGTTGAAGTGTCCGTTCTCGCCCAGCTCACGGTAGTGGTACAGCAGCCTGACTGCGACCGTGCTTTTTCTTCGGCACATGTCTCCGGCCAACTCCTTGATCTTCTTGGCCACTTCCCGTTTGATTTGTTGCTCAGTCTTACTATTGCGACCGTCTGAGATGACGAGGAGATCGTTGGCTCCCAAGCTGCGCAACTTGGCATCCGCCGTCGCTGCAAGGACCTTGGCCAAGCAGCCCTTGAGGTATGCAAGCGGCATGCCTGACACGATGCTCTGGCCGAAGTGCTTGCCATCGAGGTAGACGAGCTTGCTGCTTGCAGGCAGCTCTGCCCAGCATTCCTCCATGAACTCGTCGATTCCCTGAGCCTGCGGGTCATAGGTCTTGAAATGAACGAGGGCATCCCGACCTGAGATACTGACATACTTCCGACCACGTCGGGAGATGCGGGCTGAGATGGCATCTGCATGCTCAGCCGCTGGCGTGTGGTGGCATGGGAAACTAGCTTTGCAAGCTCAAAAGTATCCATCTTCAGCAAGGTTGACTTCAGATCTGCAGGCAGCAGCACATGCTGGAAAGTGTCCTGTAGCATTGTTGCTTGCTCCGATTCCTGTGACTGAGCGTCCACGGCTTCCTCGCTGTCCACCATCATGTTCAAGCCGTCAGCCAAGGCCTTGTGCATGGCCTCGTCATTTGGATCCTCGGGCTGGTGTGCGATGCACAAGTCAGTTTGAAAATATGATGCAGGTGTATGCACTCCACACTGGTCTCCCCAACTCACATAGTCTGTGGCTGCAATCGCACAGAAACCTTCGCAAACAATGAAGGTCACTGCCAGCTGGCCTGCTAGGTATGCAGCACGGCAGAGATCATGCGTGTGATTATCCCGGTCCTCTGCTGCCAAATGCTTCGGCTCCAGCACTTCAGCTGGTTCAGCCGGTGGCGGTTTCACCTCCGGGATGATGCGAAGCTTGTTCAGCTCGGACCTTATGAGCAGTTTGTTGGGGCAGGAACTACTGCCGAGAAGCAGAGATGTTCAAGTGAGGAGTCTACTCTTTGGCATCCACCAGGCTCGACAACGGCAACATCTTCTGCCATCTCGGATTCTGCAGGGACAGCTCTGGGTTCATGTTGCCCGGATCCTTCTCAATGGACTCAACCAGGGTCTGGTACCATTGCACGGTCGGCTGAAAGAACAGCCGCATGCACGTCAGGCTGTCCTGTTGATACTGCAACGTGTCCGAAAGCCAGTGGGTGTTGCTGGCGAGGCTGCCCAACTCGCTCGCCTCCCAAGCCTCGTGGGTCATGAAATTCTGGTAGAAACCCAAGGCCGACTTGGCGACATTTCCTGCTCCCAAGGTCACATCCGTCCGAATGCCCTCGCAGTCTGTTTTCGACAGCCGAAGCTTGTGGATGAATAGGTAGCACAGCCTGCGGGACAGAAGCGATGTTTTGGCAAGGTTGATGACAAAGCCCTTGTTGTCCGTGTCCGTCAACGCTCTGACCTTCTGTGCGTTGAAGATGTCCAACACCACCCAACGCAACAGTGCATTCTGTTGCTTGCTGTCCTTCTCAACCTTCGTGAGTTGCATGATGCGGTCCAGTACCGCCTGCTTGCTCAACTGGTGGTTGATGCCGAAAGTCTCCTCGAGCAGGTCAAAGGTCCCGGACAGATCCGCCTCCACGATACGGTTCCGGATGAGCACCATGGACTTCACCACTTCCTTGCTCACATTGATGCCCTCCTTGCTGAGCCATTGCGAAACCTGACAGACCGCAATGAAACTAAACACCTAGCGCGAAAGGAATGCATGGTAGGATCGCAATCCTTGCAGCACAGCCGCTCCAGCGTCCGAGCTGTCCCGGCTCCACTTCTGCAACTGGTCCTTCACAGACACTATGCCGAGGATCCTCTTGTATCCACGCAGCACTGCATTCTCGTTCATCGAACTGAGTTTTGCACTCAGATTCCACTTGAATGCCTCCTTCTCCTCTTCGGATGCCACGAAGACCAGGCGAACCGGCATGCCAGTGAAGGCCACGATCAACTCGTCGGACCAGCCGCCCTTCAAGGACTCAAACAAAGTCAGCCAAAACGCCATTCGAAGATGATCGTTGTTCAATGGTTCCAGGGAACCGGTTGGCAACTTCGTCTTGGACGTTGTTGCTACCGAAATAGGCTCGCTCCAAAGGAGGCCTGACCCGACAGCAGCTTTTCCCGTAAGCTAAATTATACGGTGACATGCTCATTGGTGTATGCACTGACAACCTGCCTCCTGCTTTGCCCCGCATCCAGTGTGATGCCATCATCCTTTCCGCCGCAGCGACACCGGGCAGAATGTTCTCGTGGGCGAAAATCAAGGGATCAATCGCCGTGGCGTTCATGATGCAGGTGTACTCGCCGTGCAGCTTCATGTTTTTGGTGTAATCCTCCTGGTCATAGATCTGAAAGCCAGCCACAGGCACCGCACGATTCCCCTGCTCCTTCACAAATTGCTTGACAGCAGGGCTTCCCAAGATCTCCTTCATCTTCACATACATGGCAGGCTTCGGACCAGCAGCTTCGGGCACAGGTGAGGGAGACATCTTGCCGATCTTGCGGGTCGCGGGCGGCGGTGCATCTTGAACGCCTCGTTTGACCATGGCTCCGCCGGTCGCAGCAAAACAGCACTCTAAAAGGCTGGGTGGCCCAGCTGCGAGGTTCAAGATCAAAGCAGCATGGCATCCACAACACAGCTTGACTGGCACGGGCAATGTCCAGCATGCAGTATTTTCTATTCATGCTGGCAGAGTCGGAAGCAAGGCCCCGCCGGTTTAGGCTTTTGAGTCCCCATCCGAGTTTCGGGGTTCAGAATGGTAAGCCGTGTGCATCAAAATTTGGATCCCCTTGTATCACCCTTCCGTTCCGAGACTGTATATATACCCTAAACCTGAAACCTGTTCCCTAAACCCCTTTGAAAAAAATTCAGCTGCTTCAGCACCGGCATCAAAACGGCGACGAGGCTCGTCGCGGACATCGAATTTCCTATAAGGCCTATAGCCTGTCTCTCAGTCAGCCCCCCCAGGTCCAGCCGATAGCCCATCATTGCTGCCAATTCACTAGAATGGACGAACCTGCAGTTGTCTGCACAGTGAACGGAGCAGTATTGTCAACGGAGCATCATCCTAAACCCAATAATACATGACAGCCTTCAGATTCAACTTTGGTCGTGTAAACGATAGCAGGCGTGGTAATGGATGTCCCGGACTTTGTGAGTAAGACTTAGTGACTTAGTAGCAACAGCAGTGGCAGTAGCACTGTTGTAGTAGCAGCAGTGAATGGACCAGGGGCCGTCATGCTGACTCCTACGGGGCACTTTCGGGATCTCTCGGCGAAGGGTCATGCCGCTCACTCCTAACTTCACCCATCCAATCCTACTCTTGAAAATTAGAAGAAATGCAGGCTGTCAATCAGCACACCACTCTCACCCATCATGGCAAGGGACCTGTCACGCTTGAAACTCCAAAGCCGGGTTGAGGTCGTGACCGTGGGAGCCGACCCTGCGACGTGCACAGCTCCTCGGCCACATGTCTGTCCAACATCCGCTAGAGGCTCCTTCTCAATTCCCGAGGTCTTCATGAGGTGGCCGGCAATGCAGCCGTACCTGGTTCTGGAGGTAAGGGTTATCGGGCGCCAGTGCTCCACACAGAAATGGGAATTGCAACAGGCAACGTCTCCTTTCACAGCCACGGCACACATCCACTTGGGCCCTCATCCACGCGGTACCCTCCTTGACGTTGATGGAGTGGCGCTCGTCGAGCTGGGGTACTCGGAAATTCTTCGGCAAACGCTTTGCCTTCGTGGCCTTTGAGAGAGCTGTTTTGAAGCACTCGGCGTAACGATGTGCTTCTGCAGCCGCAAGGACGGCATCATGACGATCTGGGCGATCTCTGGAAGGCAGGCCCGCCGGCACGGACTCGAGCATGAACGTAGTGGCGCTGTGGGTAAGCTTGGGCACGTCCATGGCCTTTCTGACATCGGCCTCCACATTCACCATACTCTCAGAAACGTCTTTGTGGATGCCGACAGTCCACACACGGTCTCTCACGACAGGCCTGGGCTTCTGACAGACAGAATGCAGTGCAGGAAGCAAGCAGTGTGAAGCAGACAAGGCGCAGTGGCGAAGATCCTACCACCATGGATACGAACACATAGTCATGGCCCAGCGCTTTGCGGATCTCATCGTCGGCGGGCCTGCCTTCCAGCACAAAGGTCCGCGGAAGAACCTTCGCGATGACCCTGTTCAACACTGAATTGGCCTGGCACGGACATCCCGCGACCAGGAGGTCTGCACGATGGTCGGGGAAGGAGCCTGTCTGGGATGACATGAAGTCGAAGCTCTTGCCGTGGGCATCAAGTGCACGCACATCACGCAGCAACACTCCCGGCTGCTTTGGGCGGGGCTGGTTCTTCAGCAGAGCATGAACCGCATCCTCATTTATTTCGCAGGCTGCAATCTCATCAATGCATTCGGAGCCCAGCAAGGCATCCAGGACCAGACGGGGGGCGCCGAATCTTAGGCACACTCAAGAACACAGAACTGAGTATCACGAAACTCTGAAAGACGTGCAGCAGCACAGGTTCACTCAGCCCCTAGCCCGGAGCACAGCGTCGCCAGCTTCAGCATCCCAGCAGACGGGTTCCGCTCGCACCCCAGCCGCTCTGCTACGTCGGAGATGAAGGCAGACAGGTCGAAGGGAGAATCCGTGAATTTGGCTCGGTCGGCAGTTCTCAGAGCTGGCTTGACGTCGACCTCGTCTTTCTTGCCAACCGTGGACTTGCCCTTGCGGTCCTTCTTGGTCTTGGCCTTAGCCTTGCATCTCGCACTCTTGGAGCCCATGTCTGGAGAAGGGGACACAGGAACACGCAAAACTTGATCCTCACGTAGCAGCACAGCGAACACTGGACCCTATAAGGCGGGCTGGATTCCGAGAGACGGTTGTGGGTCCAGGTCCGGACCTGGACCCGCAACTGTGACACATTTCCTTCCGTAATGCAGGTGGTCCAGCTGGACCCTGACCACGGGCAGCTTGATGCATTGAACTACGGAGAGAAATCTGACCGGTTTGTGGGTCCAGGTCCGGATCTGGACCCACAGCGGGCTTCCGGAAATCACGGCGGCTTAACCGGTCCAATTGTTTGGTTTGCTAAAACCTCTCTTACGTCCCTGACAAAATCTCCCTGGGACATGCGCAAGTGACTTTGCTCCAACACATAGACAGGCCCACGGGAGGACTGCAGAGCTTCGGAGCCTGGCGCGACAAAAGCAATGTCCTGTGTTAATTTTCAACCTATGCACGATCTGTTTGTGGAAACCTACAGTAGGTTGAGAGGCCTGGCCAATCAGCGGGAATACCTCGCTTCCAGGCTTTGGGCAACGGGACTCCATCCAGACAGCCGAGAAAGACTCAGCTGAGCACAGCAGAAAACATCAGTGCTCTCTCTGAGGACCTTAGTGGACTCCAGGCCTGATCCTAACGTTTGAACTAAATAATTTGGCACTGGGACGATACATGATGAGTTACGTTCGGCCTCCCAATCAGGATTCCCATGACTACATTCTGACGGAAACCACAAAATGATCATAGATGTGGTTCCTTCCGACAGTGTCACTTGCAAGTCGAATTCCGCGAAGTCACTTTCTTTTGGACGATCTGCGAAACTCTGCGAATCCCCAAAGTCCCCCTGGCTGCTTGAAAAGCAAACGAGGCATGGCGGCATGTGACAGCTCGCAAAAGACGGGTTGTGCTTACCTTACCACAAGCCTGCATTTGCATCACAGGCCCCATGCAGTTGCCGCAGCCGAAGCCTTTGCTCCAGACAGAGAAACTAGTCAGTGCAGCCACTGAGTGCATAAACACAGGAATCCGTTGGCATCCATCACACGACCTTGGGAGCCCTTCCTGTTTTGCTCCTCTTGAGCGTTTTTGATGTATCCGGGTACAGCAAGGACACAGGCTGTGGCGCCTTTCACATGTTTCCACTTCCGGTGGAGAGACCATTGCTTGCTCACCGGCAATGGTTCGGATGCCCGCATAAGACGGACTATCCCCTCTGCCACGGGATCCCGTGTCCGCCCCGCAGACTTGTGTATGTAAAGCCTGAGCACACATCGGGCGGTAGAACAAAGACACTGAGCGGAACAAGTGCCGGTCTGGACGCCATGTCTCACCAAGGACAAGGAAACTACGTTGCTTTACGAGACACTCCAGGATCTCGTCGAAGCCACGTGCGAGACGAAGCATGGGAGTGACGACCTGACCCCTGCCATGACATGTTCTCATCCAGTCAGGACCAGCAAGCCATCCTCCAAGGGCCCTCGATGCGAAATGCATTGGTGTGATCTCACACGAATCGGGCATCATAGCAAAGGAACACTCAGTCGCTATGTCGGGCAAGAACCACACGATGTTCTTTGCCTCAACTTGGGGGATGGTGGTATACTCCTCCACAGCTCCTGTCCACAGCAGGACGCGTAAACCCCAACGAGTCAGGGCCGAGGTGTCCGTGCCATCGTTGCAGACGACCAGAACTTCTTGGACATGCATGGGTGTCGCCACGTACACATCTGAAGCCTTGTGTTTCAAGGCTTTTTCTAAATTTTCACGCAGGACTCTCTCCTTTTGCACAGCCTGATCATACTTCTTCCTGCACTGCGCTCCATCAAGCAATTGCAAGAATCGTTTTCGCTTCTGGTTCTGGATTCTCTCGATGGCCTGACGGACCGATCTATGCTCTTCGCCTTTGCTGTCCGATGCAGCGTTGGCTGCCACTGCAGCAAGCGCAGCCATGTCTGGTGCTTCGCCGGGACTGAGCAAAGCCACCTGTGACTCGCGCTTCCGCTTGAGACTTGCTCGCGATTCCTTGCCGGGTTGAAGGACAGGTGCCTCTCCTGGCTCGCCCGGTGCACAGAGGGCCTTGGGGATTGTCCTTCGCGGAAGACCATTCTTGCAAACATTACCACGGCCGCCCCCGAACATGTCCACAAAAAGCTGCTGAGTTTCAGCAGCATCCGCACTCAGTGCATACGTTGCAGGCCTCTCCCTGGATTCCTGCACTGTAACTACAAACTCGTGAGGAGGCAAGCCATCGAGCCGACAACGCATCAGGGACCTGACAGGCCCGGAAACCAATTACACATGAATGAACCTCAAATTTAATGACAATGCACTGCTTCCGCTCATGATGCCTCAAATGTTGTGTCGTGGTGCTGCTCTTCCTCCCGGACGAATACATTTCCAGGTGGCTCAGGTCCTGCTCGATCTCGCCGGTGGACTCGAACGACACCAAGAAAAGACTCACCTGGGTATACCAGGTACACCAGTGGTGCCGGAAGAGGGGCACGCAATCAAGAAACGAGACTGAGTGCATGGCCGCTTGAGCTAGAACGGGTAGCTGGGACTGCCAATGTTTCACTGTCTGTCCCCATGCTTTGGCAATGTCCAGAACGCCTTGCCTACCGGAGCGGGCCACTCGACTATGCGTCAATAAGACCGTCAGTCTCAGAGAGGCAGGTCACCTCCGGAGCACCGCCATGGTGGGCCTCGCGATCTTGTACTGCTGGACCAGGATTTCTGCCTCCAGACACACGAGCGTACGACACAGTGTGTGATCATCTGACATCCCCCTGCCAGCCTCCAATCCCAGACAGACTGCCAGAGGCTGGAATACCTGAGGCCTGAGTCACGAGCATGCTTGCCGACAATCACTACGTCACTACGGCCGCATGGAGCTTCTTTGCAGACACATAAGGGCCCAACAAGGCTGCATCATCACACTCCGCCATCCAGCTCTCCGTGTCAAAGGGGAAGAAAGCAGCTGCAATCCCTGTGCAATGATTGGCCTCGAGCGCGAGGATGAGATCCTGCGAAAGAACCTCGATGGCACCTAATGTTTTCGCGACACTCTTCCTGAAGGTGGCCTCATCTGTTCCCGGCTTGAAGTAGACAAGGTCGTTCTTGTGCATAATAGCCTAGACGGCTGCAGAACATACCACCATGTGGTCCAAACAATGGCGGCAACACAACATGCGTTGCAAGGGGTGAGATGGGGCCTCTGCAGACAGGAAATCATAACCACGTCTGAGCACAGATAGCATTCCAGCATCGTAGTGCCTAGACAGGACCAGTGGCTCCTGGAACTGCCCCGACTCCTGTCGGAATGAAAACAGCTGGTTGCATTCCTGCTTCAATCCTCGCAGAAGATGTGATGCCCTCGCCAAGGAAGACGGACCCTTTCGCAGATTGTCGAATGCATGAATATATTTTTTAGCCGTTCTCAGCAGCTCTGCCACCAGGCTGAGCAATACCATGTTGTCGGGTGACAGCTGCTGTAGAAGCCCAGCAGCCCACGCCTTGTGCTGGTCTCCTCGGACCACCAGTTCTTGCAAGCAGGATACGACAGCCCTCATGTTGACGCACAAAGTCTCACAGACTTCCAGTATCGTGTCAAATCTTTGAGGGGCGTATGAAAGCGTGCCAGCCCGCCTCATGATCCCATCGACCTGTTGACAGTGATCTGTGAACAACTTGTTCAATCGCGCACTGTTTTTCAGTGCACGGGCAAATCCTCCTGGATCCCCACCTCTGCTGCTTGAGCTGTACTTTGATATTAGCACATCCAGCAGCTTGGTGATGTTGGGGTTTCCTTGGAGAATATTCTCCAATGATCGTTGGGCGGAATGAAGATTGCATCTGAAGCTAGCCTTCAAATTGAAGCCGCTGAGGCCCTTCAGCATCTGAGGACACGCTTGCTCAGCCGGTTCTCCGTCTGAACAGAAAACCTGAAACGAATGGCATTACTACCCAAACTTGCCATGTCTGAGAACTATTGTGTCTGAGGGGCCATAGGGGTCTCCCGGAAGGTTTGCATCACACCTGCCGATCCCCCGGAAAACTTCTGCATTGAAGCCAACAGCGTCTCCGCCTTGGAGAGCGTCTCCTGTGCTGCAGAAGTCTGAAGCCCCGAGAACCTGAGTTTACATGTCTGCAGAAAACAGTGCAAAGCTCCTTGGAAAAAGCCTCCGTGAGGTCCAGCACGAAACTCGTCACCGTGAAGTCACGAGTTACACAGCGGCATTTAATGAGCTCGAAGTGCTTTCGAGCATCCTGTGATCTGGAATTTGCAGTGGTTGCTTCAGTTGCTGAAATGCTTTCGCCCAAGGGACCTCTGCAACAGCGATGCTCCTGATTTCACCCGGAAGGAACTGTCGCAGGATGCGCCGGTCGAGAACAGCCGCATATGCATCCATGATCTGAAAATGAACATGGCGATGACAGTGTGCTTCAGGCATCTGATCGGGCCGGTGCCTCACAAGGATTCAACACCTTCCGGCAACACCAACCCTCGCCCTTGGACCGAGCCTCCGATGAGCCTCGCAGCGGCTTGAATACTCTCGAGCTTGCGCGCCGGGAGGGCTGCGGAGAACCTCAAGGGAAAATCTCAGCTGGGCTGAGCTGACTGATCTGCAGAGCTTGTCTTCGCCGTCTGCTGGAGCCGCTGATGCCGACGTTCCAAGATGCCAATGAAGTGCTTGCATGTGAAAGCGACACCTTTGTTTGCTTTTCTTCGCCACATTGCCGTGTCTCAACATGTCCTCCAACTGCAGAAGTTTCTTCGACCCGCCGTCCCTCGGCAGCATGTTAGTCTGTCAGCGAGCCTACAGTGCTTCTGTTGCCCCCGCATGTGTCTGTGGGCCTATGATTAATTATGAACTTACCATGCCAGGGCTCACAGGGGGAGCACCAACGGTGGCTGTCAGCCAGGGCGTCTGCTTGCGCACAGCTTGGGGCTTCTCAGCTGCATATGCCATGCATAGGCGACACCCAAAACCTCTAATACCTCGATGAAGATAGGTCTTGTATTTACCTGAGATGACAGGAAGGAGCACACAGCACAAAAACTCTGAGGGTTTGTGGCTATGAGAGGGAATGCAGCCAGAATTCCATCCGAATCAAGGTAGCTGCATCTGGTGTGCCATCTCTGAAAGAGGCAGTCCAGGCACTTGCATCCACGAGGGCAAGTGCCAGCCATGTGACACAGCACAGCCACGGCAACCGGGTAACCAGATGAAACAGAAATTCTGCCCATGATGGTTTCGGGTGTGTAGACCAATGCTGACTTGCCTATAAAGGGCATCATACGATGTCATGTATCTCTGTAGAGAGCCACTTACAGCATAGTCATCCTCACACACAACAACACACCATGAAGAAACCTCCAGCGACATGCGTTCCCAAGGAACCGGCCAATGAGGGAACCAGTCGCGGCCTGGCGAATGCGTGCCCTAGCAAGCAGTTTGGGCGCTAACGGCCCGAAAGATACCACAAATAGCAGTAACACAACCGCACACTCAGCTTCAGGCCCCCATTGCAAATGTCTGAGTCTGCAGTATATCAGTTGTCAGTTGTGCTTTGCTCCGGCAGCGTCGTTACATCTATTTTCGACCAGCTGACGTCATGCTGTAATAGAAAATCACTAACACATCGGGTCGGTCTGTCGTGCTACCAGATCATTTTGGACCGCGGGACATTGCTGCAATCCTGAACCCATGCGGGGCCAGAGGTGTGTCTGAGAGAACGATGCTTCGTTGCTTTGTGTCGTGCCCTTTCCATCTCGCAGCTTGGCAGCTGGCTTCTTTTGCGCAGATCCCTCAGAGAGACCCAACATTGACATCCTTCTACCAAAAAATTGCCGATGCTCACCTACAATCCGCCCGAGACAGCGAACCCTCGACCCCACAAAGTTTCGTGCTAGTGAACCTCCAAATTAGCAAAAGAAGAAGTCTTATTATTAGCTGTTTTATTAGTAGTAGTACTAGTAGTAGTAGTAGAAGTAGTAGTAGTAGTAGTAGTAGTAGTAGTAGTAGTAGTAGTAGTAGTAGTAGTAGTAGTAGTAGTAGTAGTAGTTAGTAGCAGCAGTAGCCGTTACTAGTACTGAGAAGAAGAAGACGAAGCACTAGTAAGTCGTAGCAGGGACGAGACTACGTTGAGGGGTTTAGGGTTTAGGGTTTCGGATTTAGGCTTACTACAGGATTCGGGCCTTGCGGCGAAGGGTCATGCCGCTCACTTCACTCCTACCCTCAATTACTCCCAATCCTACAACTACAATCCTACCTGCCCTAGCTCGATTTTCTCGGCGGCGAAGGGTCATGCCGCATACATCTACTTGCACTATCTTGATTTCCTAAGCGGTAAAGGCTCCACATACATCTAGTTACAACGAGAAGAACCGGGCACCTCGCATCGTCCTCCGAAGTAAGACAAGCTCGTGTTGATCGGCCTGAGCGGGCGGCTGAAGAACTTCTTGGGGAAAACACATACGGTTTTCCAGCTGGACATCCTTCCTGATGTCCCTTGGAAAATGTCTTGCTTTCAGTCTCTCCCAAATACGAGAAGCAGATCAGAACAACGGACTGGTATGGGCCATGAATGCCATCATCTGCAGCCTCTGGATGATTAAGCAGCCCGGGAGATATCTTCCGTCCATTACTTCGGTACTCCATGCGGCTTCATGTACCCTACTCTGAGTTGGAAGCTTTGCTTATGCCACTTACCTGGCTCTACAAGCCGGACTTTTCGGCTTGGGACAGATACCAATCATAATATCGTTTAGAACATGTGCCGGGAGGATGACGAGCAAATCGAGAACTTGACTCGGAAGCAGGAAGATGCAAAGGCTAAGCACCGCAAGCGCGAGGGACAGAACGCTGAATCCTGAGGAATGTCTTAGCTGGCGTGTGTTCAGATCGCTGTATTATCAGGGCGATGTGTCAAAGACAAAGGCGGCTGCTGTCAGGACATGCAGAATGGTCAGGAGGTCTTACTCATCTACTTCTATCCATCTCAGTCTCTTACATAGAGACCTGAGTTGAGAACTGAAACGACAAGACCAGCAACCCGAGTCATATTATAGCCAGAGCAGTTCAAGTCTTGATGGACCTGGAGGACCTAACATCTTCGGGAATTAATGCCTGGAAGGCTGCCGTGGAAGTCCAAATTGTACACCCTAAGCTGGCGATCACAACCTGCGAGCAAAGATGGACAGGGATGGGGCAAGTTTCGGGTTGTCACCTCACGAGGCTACATCGCATCGAATGCAAAGGCGGGCCCGACCTGGAGCTCCGGCCATGTGGCAGGCCCCAGCCTCAAGACCAGGCAAAGTGCCGTGCCATGCACGGACCAGAACTGCAACGCACGAAAAGCGGCATACAAGAAGAACCGGGCAGCTCGCATCGTCCTCCGAAGTCAGACCTGGGGGCACAACAGTTTGCAGGTCACTTGGCAAAAATGACAAGGATTCATGAAGCAAATAGCAGAACACACCCAACAACCTTTTTTTTATACAGTGCCGTGCCCAAGCCTTAGAAATCCTCCGGCACGGGCCAGCTGATGACCTTGCCATCGCTTCTGATGGCCTTGAAGCCAGAACGTCTTGCATGGATCTTCACTATATGATGCAGCTGATCTTGCACGAGAAAGCTGTCACCTCCGGTGGCGTCATCACCCCAGGTTACCACTGACCCATACGCTTGAATAGCCGCAAAAGCTCCTGCAGATGAGGCCACTTCGAGGACGTTAATGTATGATCCAGGCCCAGGCCACGTTCTCACCACTCCGTTGGCCATAATGGCTGCAAAATTGGTGTTAGTGGCCGCTATAGATTCAACATGATTCAGGTAATCGACGACATCGAAGCTGTCACCTCCAGAATCAGCATCGCCCCAGGTAACAACTTTTCCATCAGCAGTCAGTGCTGCAAACGCCCATTTGGTGGCTTGAATGGCCGTGATTTGGCGAAGCTGCGGCTGGACAGCAGAGCTATCACCACCACGGGCAGCATCACCCCAAGTGATCACAGTTCCATCCGAACGCAGAGCAGCGAAGGCAACCGCATTTGCTTGGATCTTCTTGACATTGACAAGCGAGAGCCGGACCGCTGTGCTGTCGACGCCATGGTCAGCATCGCCCCATGTCAGGACGGATCTGTCGGCCGTAATGGCAGCAAAAGCACTACCAGTTGCCTGGATCTGCGCCAGATTCCGAAACTGGTCCCGGACAAGGCGGCTGTCGCCGCCGAAATTTGCATTGCCCCAGGTAACAACAAAGCCAGTAGCAAGGATCGCTGCAAAAGCTTGGTGAGTTGCCTGCAGCTCCTTCACACCACGCAACTCATGTTGCACTAGCTGACTGTCACCACCCATGCCTGCATCTCCCCAGGTCACAACAGAACCGTCGCCAAGAATGGCGGCAAAGGCTCCGTCCGTTGCTTGGACCTCTTTCACATTCTTTAGCTGGTGCTGCACACCACTGCTGTCACCACCACACCAAGCTAAACCCAGGGTCACGACGGATCCATCGCTGTGAATGGCGGCCACAGCACCGTCGCAGCCTGCGTACTGCAGACGGGTTGACATCGTCATGGCTCGAGCCTTGCGTTTCGGCGCTCATGCTCGGACAAGTTAGGCGAGGTTGCTGGTAATCTTTAGGGTTTAGGGTTTAGGGCCGTTTCAAAGCTGAACGTAGATCCTTTCGCATGAATCCCTTGCAGGCCTGAATCCCTAAACCCTCAATTGTCAAACAAACCCGGGACCCTAATGCCCTTGCCCTTCAATAATAACCTACGAACATTCAAGTCAAATTCCCTCAACTCAACAACACCAGCCAGAGTCCCCAATCAGAGCCAAGGGCCCGACAAAGTAGTAGCCCAAGCCGTCAGGGCCGACAATCAGCCAGGATCGTCCTGCCACAGCCACAACTCAAACCAAATAACCTCTCCATCTCTCAACGACCGGTCCATCAGCATCCTCCATCAGGATGAGGGCGGTTCCGAGCCACCGTCATCTGATGGTGCACCTGTGAAGGTCACACAGTCTGTGGACGGCATACCAGCTCGCCCTCACTTTGGGGGCTCAGGCGGTAGAGTATCAGAGGGCTGCAAGGCTGTTTTGGCCAGGCGCTCACTTAATAATCGCAGTGCATTTATTACACATCGTGCTGGCTAGAATGCTGCTTCACTCAGGCCTGGAGCATCACACACGATGATGCCAGGTGTCTGGCTTTCCGTTCAGTTGGCTTCGAGTGCATCGTTGTGTCACTCAGTTCCGAGGCCATGGCACAAGCAAGATAACGGCTCGTCGAATGGAGCAGGGACCACCAAGTCCTTACACGCGGGTCCCTTCTGTAGGACAATTCAAAAGCCTGGACAATTGTTAACGTGCTGAGTTGTCGGCATCTAAGTACCGGCATGGTGCTCCTGCCTCAACCAGGCGATTCAATAATAATTGCATTCAGCCAGCATCAGAAGCAGCAGTACGGCAGCGCCTCGATGACACAACTGCAATCAAAGGAAAGGCGAGGCTAGAGACCAAGCACCCTGCATCTCCTCCAATGCGATGAATCCAATGCCAAAGCTGGCCTCAATTGCACATCCACGCAATCTCAAACGAAGCTGCAGTGTCATAAAGCATGATCTCTCGAGATTATGATCATGCGCTAAAGTCTCCAACCCTGTAACCTTTCCAGGCTCATCTGCAGGGGTTCGGAATTTGTCAAGCCTATGCATTGCAGAATCCGGAGAGGGTCGGGCGGTTGACTAACCGAGATCTCGTCATTCCTTTATGGCATGGGGTTCCATTCACCGGAAGCTATGGCATCGCTCATGAATGAACATGGCTGACACAGTCGAACCATCGCATGGGTATGTTGAACGTCAGTCTGGTTGGGCGGGTGTGGGCCTGGGTTATTATGAAATGCGACTGCAGCACACATGTGCGAAGGTGCGAAACAATCTGCAGCACTTCAATTGGTTTGCAAGCCAGAGGGCAGAAATAAGCATCATCATCATCTTCCAAGGCCCTGGCATCGTCGCCCAAGGCACGGCCTGAGCGAAGCCAGACAAGGATAGCGGAAAGGCGAGGCAGTCTCAATCTCGCAGCAGATGCAATCTATCCCGGCCAAGACGTTGCGGATTTTATGCTGCCCCGCATGAAACCGTGGGATCCCCACCCACACACACGTCTGAATGCGAAGGCGACTCTCAGCGCCTCAACTTTTCTAAGGCCTTCTCCAAGATTAAAATCGTCTGTTGAGCCTTCGCCAACTTCGGTTGAAGCTCTTGGAGTTTCCGCCGATCAGCCCCCAGGTCGTCGTGATCTTTCACACAGCGGACCATATGATTGTAATCTTTCTGGGTGAGCCGCGGTCTGACCTCTTTGTTTCCAGCATCTTTCTGGACCAGATCTCGAAGCCGCTTCTGTCGACCCTGCTCCTTACGACCCTTCGGCAGCTTCTCATCACTGAGGTCTAGGATGACACCGTCACCAGAGGATTCGGATTTCAGACTCTTGAAGGCTTTCACCGCCGGTGCAGCACACTCCGACTCTACGACAGCATCCATACCTCAGCTTAGCAGCTCTCACCCCTCATGCCCTGTGTGCTGCCCCACAACCTGCCCCAAGACAGCATGAAAATGCATGTGCCATGCCCTGCATGCTCACGCAAAAAAAAATCAAACAATCTCTCTTCAAAGCAGCGGCGGGTGTCCAAAGGTTGCACAGATTTGGCAGCTGGTAGAACGAGTGCACGATCAGAGTCACCTAAGTCTAAGGCTGCGAACCCAACGGAGAAGAGACTCGAATCATCTATTTTCTGTTTGCCGACAAGCTTCCCTCAGTGAGCCGCTCACTCTGCTGAGGATAACTCTTGGACCACGGGGACATGGCCCATCGACGAATCCTTCTAGGAGGGGTGAACATGCTGATCGGCTGCGGCATGACGAAACACCAATGGCCAAGCTTGCCAGGAGCAACTCCGAAGTTGAAGCATACCGCAAAGCATACCAAGCCCCAAGCCGAGCACAATCGAAGCCAGCAGCATCCCGCCTCAGCAGGAGTCTGAGGGTTCCAGGTTTAAGGTTTTGGGTTTAGGGCTTCTCGCAACGAAGGGGCATGCCGCCCCTACAACATGTCAGTCGTCACATGCCGCAGCTGCTACACAGCAATGCAAGGCAACTCCAGGCGCATGGCTCCGTCCGTCATGTCCGCACCTGAGAGACATGTGCGTTTGCTTTGAATCCATATTCAGTCCTGGTTTTGGCATGTACCCGCCAGGAGGGCCCGGCGGGTACCCGCCAGGAGGGCCGGCGGGTACCCGCCAGGAGGGCCGGCGAGTACCCGCCAGTGCCCGCCACAAAGGCCGGCGGGTACCCGGTACCCGCCAGGAGGGCCCCGCGGGTACCCGCCAGGAAGGGGCGGCGGGTACAAGGGCCCGGCGGGTACCCGCCAGGAGGGCCCGGCGGGTACCCGCCAGGAGGGCCCGACGGGTACCCGCAGTTCATAAGGCCGAACATCTTGGAGGCGAGACCCGCTCGCAGGGAGCCCTGCTCGATGAGGTCGGCCATTTGTCGAAGAGGCGCTCTCTCGCCCAAAAGGTGACGAACCCTCGGGACAGTGCCTCTGATAGGTCGTGGTCTAGCCCCAGGAACGTGCCATGTACCGACATGGGCTGTCGCTTTTCTGCAGCGAATGGCGGTCCCAACAAGGCATTGATGGACCCAACGGCCCACTGGCCCGAGCCTTTGGACGATGCCCAATCGAGCAGGTTGAAGTCGTCGAAGTAGGAGGAAGCCACTGTGAGGGCGAGCCTTCGGGAGGCCGCCTCGGAGAAACGACTGTACCTGTTGAAAGATGTCACTGCCAACGGAAGACCAAATAGCAGCCCGGCATAGATCTGGTAGGCGGGCGCTTGCCATTCGTGATGCCACCAGACCACCAAGCAAGCCAGAGACTCCTCCTCGTTCATTGGGCAATGCCTATAAGCATCAGGCCAGTCTTCCCCCCTGATTCCAAAGAGTCACTCTCCCTGGCCTCCTCGAGGTCTTCAGGGGGGACCCGCGCCACAATGGCCTGAGCGTGCTGACCCGGGCGCAAGGCACTGCAAAGGACCAGCTTGTTGGAGTCGTGGGACGTCTCTGATTGGCCACCCACGTCCGCGTTGTCGATAATGCGCTGTTTACCAGAAGACTGGGTAATCACGCAGCGTGGGATCAGGCGGTAAGGGCGTCCCTTGAGTTGACTCAACAGCGCGGACTTGGTGAGAGGCGGGGAGCAAAACCCAGCCTCGTAATCTTTAGTGGATTGCTGCAGCAAGAAGACGTCGTCCTTTGACGGTCCGATCCTGGACAGCATCCGGGCATTGTGGGCCCGCCAGTCACCCATCACCTCCTCGAAGGAGATGTGAGAAGCAGGCAGCTGTGGGAAGACACCGTAACACGGCGCGAAACCCACCGCTGGCATTCCCGCTACCAGAGAGAATGGCAGGGCCGTGTCAGGCCAGGAGAAGAGCACAACGAGTAGCGCCACCAGCCCAATATCCCGAGCAGCCGTCACACGGCGCAGGGAAGGGGCCTGGAAGCGCCGCAAGGCGACATCGACTGGGGCCCATCTGCGCTTGAGCTCATGTACTGCACCGACCGCTTTCTGGCGTAAGGCTCGCAAACCTGTTCGATTGGCTGCTGTGAAGTCGGCGGCAAAACGAAGATCGGGGTCCAAGATAGGCTCGCGCTCCGTGGGAACTGGTTCATGAAGGCGCGCAAGAGCCTGGCAGAAGTGGTCAGTCCGAATGACAGAAGAGGAGGCAAGGCTGCCCTCTGGCTCAGTGCTCCCGCTTGCTGTCCCGCAGCACGCTGGAAGATACGAGCTGACTGGGGAGCCAGAGCGGGGCCACACGGTCCAGTCCAATCAGCCCCTGAGTCTCGCAGCCACCTTGTGTACAAATCAAACGGCGGAGCGTTGATTAAGTCTTCAAGGAAAGGGAAGGTAACTCCTTCCAACCATTCTGCCGGAAAAAGCTTGCACACCGCCCCAAAGACATCTTCCTGCCGCAAGTAGCAGGAGAAAATTTGGGACGCATCCACCAACGGAGCCGCTGCCATCCCAAGCGCCCGGAGTGGACGGCCAAGCTGGCCGCTCCTGCGCTTCTTGGTCTGCGGCCTCCGTTGCAACGGCTTGGCTTCCTTGCTCCTGTCCGATAGCTCTTCGAAAACGAGCCCCGCGAGGGCATCGCCTTCCGATGGCCAGGCGGTGATCTCATCCACCACCAAGGTTTTCCCAAAGAGCTCCGGAAGCTGGTCGCCCAGGTTGTCCTTGATGTGCTGCACGTAACGTGGCAGGAACTCGTCGAACGGGCAATCGTGCCCTGCCACCATGGGGGCAGCCCATTTGGTGCGCGGCAGGCGATGTGAATGATGGACTTGACCAATGTAGATAGCCCCTGGTGGTAGCGAACCGTCATCGCGCTGGAGCTCTGCCACTGCCCTGCGGCGTGGGATCCGATTTGCCTCCTCATCGCAGGGCGGGGTCAACCCAAGGGAGATAGCCAAGGGTGCCATCGCCCAGGCCCGCAGCGCCCGCGGATCGAAGCTAGTCCACGCTTCTCGCCGACCAACGCAACCCGGGACCGGCATCCTCGGGACAGCCAACTTAGCTCGGCCCACTCTGGCAGCCCACCACGAGGCTGACACCGCAATCGCGAATGCGAGCGGAGCGGTGTATTCCGCTTCCTCCTGCGACGGGAACCAGTGCTGGCCATCCAAGGATTGAGGATCCCACTCGCCTTTGCCATGGATATGGTGGCACTGAATCGCCGGCCAGTCTGCGATCTCTTGCAAGTTGTGCCTAAGTCGCTGGCGCTTGTAGCGAGCACCACCCCAGCAGCAAGCATCATAATGTTTGTCTTGCCACAACCCCGACTGGAACGACTGCACCTCCTGGGGGAGAAGCCAATGCAAACTGTTGGCTGGATTCTCGCGCACTGACCCGACGCCCTTCTCGGCCGCCTGCTGGATAGCGTCAAGGACAAAGGAACATGCCCGGTTGTCCTTGTCCAACCGCTCTTGCTCTGTCTTGCTAAGCCCACCCAGTCCCTCTGGGTATGAAGCGGACCGGAGCGGCCTAGGTGCCGGCCTGCCATCCTCAAAGGCGCGCGGGATCGCCCGCGCGCGGCTCTTGGTGGAGCAGTCGAAGGCCGCCGCAATGAAATCGACTTGCTGGAGCTGTGCTGCCAAGCTCTCTTGCCTGAGTGGGTTAGCCAAGTCATGGGACGAATCAATCTTGAGATCCACAGGCAAGCACTGCCAGCCGCAAAAGAGAAAAGCTTTGGAAAGCGGTGCGTTGGGTCCCGAAAAGAGATCCGCCATAACGGGAATCGAAGTGGGCGATGCAGGAGCCTGTGACCCCAGGGAGGGGGTCGCCTCCCCCTCCCCTGGGCACCCTCAGGGCTTGACCTTCTGCTTGCAGGAGGAAGCACCATGCTTGGCAGATCCGCAGACTCTCTCTCCCTTGAGAACCACGCCGCATCGATGCAGATCGGGGCATTGCTTGCCTTTCGCGCAACGGCCCTCCTGATATTCCTGGCATAGTCGTTTGCCATCTTTCATCATCTGCGCCACTTTCTTCCCGTTGACACTCCTGCCCAAGGCGAAGGAAGAAGGCTTAGGGGGGGGCTGCGGGGCCCCTCCCTGTGGAGGCTTCGCCGGAGAGGCAGACAACGACTCAGTCGCGGAGCTCGCTTGCACAGGTATCCAGTGCGCATCGCGAAGGTCGAGAACCTCGCGAACCACGGCACCAAGCGTCTTGGTCGACTCCCTGAACTTCGAGACCCAAACCGCCCGCTCTTCGGTGTCCTTGTGCTGGAGCCACGCAAGCCTCTTGGGCCCCTGCACTTGCGAGACCGACCTCTTGGCACGATGGAAGTACTCCATGAGCACATCCAAAGGTGCATGCACGAACTGGGTGGTATCGGCCCCCACGGTATTCTCGCCGTTGGCGGGGGGAGACCCCGCGACCGCCTGGACACCGGCAAGTGCATATGCAGTGAGGAGAATCTGCAACCGGTCCAAGTAGGACTCGCAGTCCCGAGGAACCGCCTCATCTTGCTCCTGGTCCTCGGTATACAAGTTATCCCCAAGCTTGCGCTTCTTGCTGGCGCTCACGAGTTGAAATTGGAGACTCTTCACTTTCCAGACGCTGAACACACAAAGCATCCTTTTGTTAAGCTCCCGCGTCACTCGCGAGAGCGTAGCGTCAGATGGGTAGAGTTCTGGTGGGAACCTAGTTTTGTAGCGACGCCAGAACTGCTGCTTCATATCACGCAGGGAGCTATCATCAAGTAGGTCATCCAGGTCCGACTCTGAGATCCTGACCCGGCCTGCGTCGGCGTGCTGAAAGAACACCTTAACGGCTGCCCAGGTGCGGCGAAGGCGTGCCGTTTGCAGGGCCTGCTGGTCTCCCAAGGAAAGCTTCTGAACCCAGAGACCTATCTCTGCTTCCGACTCGAAGAAGTAACGGAATTCCTCGAGGTTCTTGATCTTCTGCTTGACCAAGGCCTCCAAGACATCATCAGAGAACTCGAAATTTAGCTGAAGCGATTCCATGGTAGCACGAAAGTCTGCGCCGTCCCTCGGCACTAGACTGAAAGAAGCCATGGCTAGAGAACACGGCGGTACCTCCGCCTCGTCCTGCTAAGGTCTGTGCTCTCCTCGGGCTGAAAACTGCGCCACATCCTGCAGAATAGGGGGGACCACAGAAAAACAACAGAGGAGAGAGAGAACACATGTGCACATGACCGGCTGCACTCGCAACACGCTCAAAGACTGCAGGCACTCTGCAGCTGCTGGCACATACTCTCTGTTTCCTTTGTGGCGACGGCCGGGCGGGTCGAGCCCCTCCTAATGACAAGCTCTGTGCTTGCCACTGAGCCTCAATTTCTGAGGGCCCCGGCAAGAAGGCCAAGCGCGGAAAGGTTCACGCGCATAAGTCCGGTCCCTCCGGACACTACACCCTGACTTGTGATCGCTTCACTTCGGGTGGAACACTGCCGACGCACGCTGCAAGCAGTCGCGGCAGAAGGCTCTCTGGTAGCCTTGGGCCTCCTGGAGATCCTCGACTCTGGTAAAGTCCCGGAGACGCTGGCCTGCTTCTTGTCCTTAGAGAGGCACCCCATGGCCCAAGTCGAGGTGAACCTGGGAGCGGTCAGTGAAGATATTCCGTCGGAGTGGGCCAGCGGATACCCACCACAGCTGTACGCCTGGTTTGCCGGACCCACTGTGCAATAGAGCCTTGCTCCATGACCTTGTAAATTTGGCATTCACGCAGGCTACCCACCGTCGCCTGGGCCCGCTCAAATGGAACATCGGTCAGCAAGGCGAGGACCAAGGCCTGGCCACAAGCAGCGCGGTGACGCCCGCAACGCAATGTCCCAGGACGTACCCTCCACTCACCAAGGTCTGGCGAATAATGGGCCAGCACTCCTTCCATTGCCGGTCCCTGGACTGCGAATCCGTGATAGCCACTTGCATCTGCAGAGCCCCAGGAATAATTGCACCACCACGGGAAGTAAGGGACTCGGTAAGCCAACACAGCTGGAGGTCACACCTCGGATAAGCATCCAGAGTTGCAGCCGTAGGCATGCCAGACAGCCAGAGGGTCCCTCCCTCACGACTCTCCCACAGCTTCGTGGGAGGCTGAATACGCTTCCTATCGACGATGGTATATACTGTCGAAGCGGCGCTCCAAAGCACGACCTTCAGCTCCAGAGTTCCAGCGGTCACTCCGCCTCCCGGAGCGGCCTGAAGTCCTTGTTGGGCTCGACGTGGATCGCCTTGGAGGAGGGGTCGATGGCTGCTTGGGCCGGCTTCGCGGAGGGGTGGTCGGCTCCGGCACGCCCGTATCACGGGCACAAGAAAGGCATAGCCTGACCTGCACTGCCTTTGCCTTGGGCTTCAAGACCACAGCCGCCGCCTTGGCACGTGTCCCCGTCCTCGGTGGTGACTCGGGCGCCGCCACGGATCTCTGGGTGCCACCACACACGCGCCCCGATTGCAGAATGGCGCATCGATGCCGGCCGGATGCGCACTCATCTCCTCCGTGCTGGCACTGGCCTGACTGGAAGGCCGCACAGAGCTGCACACCATCACGCAAGGTCGCCGATAAACGCTTGCCACCAATCTGCCGCGGCATCATGGCTCTCGCTGCGGCCGGGACCGGCACCACTGCTGGCAACTGGAACCTTGACTGGACCTCTTTCTGAGAGAGCTGGCCCTGCCACACCGTATGGTGATCCTTCTGCACCGCCTTGTCCATGCCAAGGGCACCATCCCGTTCCACTGCAGCCAGGGCCTCTGCCATCACCTGGTCCCATGACTGAAAGCGAACCAAACCTGCGACCGAGTTCAGGAGGCAATGCTTGCGTCGCACTGACGCCGTGTATCGAGTACTGGCGTAGCGAAGGGGCATGGAATTCCCCTCCTGGCGCATTTTGGCCCCATCCTGCCAGTCCCCCAGCGACAACTGCTGGGGGGACCAGCCAGCCAGTGTCGGCGTAAGAGGGGGCCACTCTCCTGAAAGAGTACGTGCTGACTGCTGCAGCCCCTTCGCCAAGGAGGGGCGTGTACACGTCCTGAGCCAACTTGACGGTCTGCGGGGTAGAGTAAGGCTTGCCGAACTCGTTGAAGTTGATCCCCGCCTTCTCGCGGGAAAGAACCGGAAGAGCGCGCCAATCCTCCAGCCAGCGGGTTGACCAATCCCAACCCGACATAAAGTAGCTCGAAATCGCGTAATCGAAGCCTTGTCTGTGCCCTTTCTGCTTGCCTTTGGAGCAGCGGAAGTGAAAGGTGGAGCGCGAGAGCCGACGCGGAGAAGATCGGTTCACATGCGTAAGCCGAAGCACTCCAAAACAGCACGCCCAGAGGCCTAGTAAGGCTCGCCACTGAGGGTTGTTGCTGTTGTAAAGCTGCTCGATCTTGGTCTCCAGCACTTCCAACATGGGTGGCTCAGCAACCGCTGCTTGCTTTGGCTCCCTGTTGGGCTGGCCCCGGAAGTCGTAGGCCGACAAGTCGTGATCCAACTGGCCTGCCTTGACCAGCCAGCGTAGTCCCGCAAGCGCTCGGGATTGCGCCGCCGTCCCACCATACAGAAAAGCATCCAGATCGACACCGTCCGGCGGGAAAGCGCGCCCACGATCAGTCATGTGAATCTGGAGCTCCGAAAAGGTAAGGAGGGCTCCCCGAACCGTGGCGGCCTCCGAATCCCTCGCTTTTGCCTCCGCCTTCCGCTGCAAGGCTGCGCGCCACTCGCGCTCCAGCCCGGCCGTAAGGTCCCCTCTAGCTTGGCCGCATTGAACCGAGGCAATAAAGTGCCTCCGTCAGGGCCTCCACTTGGTCATCGGATGGCCTAGCCTCAGGTTTAGGTGCTGTCTAGACCTTCCGAATCACTCTGCCCTTGGCTGCCACACGCAACCTAAAGGAAGATGGCCGTCTCACGGCCGGCTGAGGCGAAGGCGTCGCCGACTCCAAGGCAGAAGTCACTGCCCCGTAGAGCCCCGAAGAGGAAGCGGCCCGTACCGCGGCCCACTCTTCCGCCACCAGGGTTCCAGCTTGTGCCATAGCCTCTTCGTAGCTCTGGAACGTAAAGGCAAAGTCGGAGTCATTCAGGAGTCCATGCTGCTCCCGCCACTGACCGGCACGCTGCCGAGACATCTCCCCCATAGCTGTGTATGCGCTCTCTGGCGCCGACGCCGCAGACAGCGACTCGGCTGCATAGACGCCCAGGTTCCCGGGCATGATTGCCAAAGCGAGCCCCACAGCCCAAAGCTGGAGCCCAAATCTAAAGGAGGAACCGGAACACCTTGAATCACAGCGCTCCGAAGAAACAAACCTGCATCTGTCACGGAGCCCCCCAGTCCTCACGGAAGGGTCGACCTCGCAAAGCGAGCCACGACGAGGGAGGACACCACACCATGACCTGGCAGCCGAAATGAGCTCATAATGACAGGGCACCGCCTGCTGCTCAAACTCAGTCTGCTTATAATGGTCGCCAGGGAGCGCCTGCCCTTCCCCCCCAAGGCTGGGCGTACCTCGCCCAACCCTCGGGGTTGCACCGAGAGCCTGTCCCTCAGGCCTGGCGCCTGGCGCGCCCCAACAAAGTGCGTCCCGCAGCAAACCAGAAGAAGGAGCCGCCACCTGGCCGGGAGCCCCGAGACGACAGCCAAGCGTAACACGCCCAGCCGCCGACTCCCCAGCCAAACACCCTTCAACTGGAAGAGGAAGACACCGAAACCGCGTCACCGGCGACTGCTCCACGAATCCTGGCTAAGAGACGGCGGCACTGCCTACACTCAGCAGTTTGCCACCGTGTGCGTCGAGGCAAGGGGTTCCCGCAGTGCAAGCACATAGCGCGAAGGCTGCCGGGGTCGTGTTCCGGGTTGCCTGCATGGAACAACCAAAAGATGAGTGCGCGGCGATGGCGGACAATGGGGTCCGCGAAGGCCTCCATTGCGGTGGGTACCTCATCGGCTCCGAGTGACGGGTCACGCCACCTGCGCTGCCCTTGCTGCCACTGCCTCCATGTATCCAAAACTGAGGCCAGGGAAGCACCCGGCAGATCATGCAGCGTGTTAATTTCTGCCATGTACAGAACCCTGGCCATCGTGGCGGTGAGCATGTCACGCATGGTGATGGCCGAACCATGCAGTGTGAGTTCCTCGTCAGTGAACATGGTATCACACTCATAGAACCTAGTGCGAGCATCGTCGGGATGCCACCCATCCGGCACCACAGTCGCCCTGACTGCCCACGGTCCCAACCACGGGAACTGGAACCCGCCCCGGGCGTCCTCACACCTTGGACACGGGGAAGCGACGCAAGCGATCCGGCGAAGAGGCACGAACCTGCCATCGATCCTGAGACTCGGCACAATGTCCAAAGGGGCGGGGAAGTGCACGACTTCACAGACCTGGTTCCAAACATGCAAGAATGCCTCGGAATCATTGTTCCTGCTGAACTCACCCATGTACCTGACAAAGGCAGACATATTCTCAGCATGCAGAACCCTCGACTCGGTATACGTGATGCGACCGACACGGGTAGCAACATCCATACCTGTGGAGTCACTCTCCACGAGAAAAGAAGTACCAGCTTTGCCAGGTTTGGCTCTAGCTGAGGCTTAAGCCAAATTTTGCAAGCAGGTACAAGGTTCCTCAGAAATGATACATGCACACCCAAGCCTGCCAAACTCGATGCATGAACATAATTATACATATATATATATATATATGTGTGTGTGTGTGAATAGATATAGATATAGGTCTGCGTGTGCGCGCATATGATCACATGCATATATACATACACACACAGAGACACGCACGCACGCACACACACACACACACAAACACACACACACACACACACACACACACACACACACACGCACACCCACACCCACACGCACACACGCGCACACACGCGCACACACCCACACACACCCACACACACCCACACACAGACACACAGACACACAGACACACAGACACACAGACACACAGACACACAGACACACAGACACACAGACACACAGACACACACACACACACACACCCACACCCACACCCACACCCACACCCACACGCACACGCACACGCACACGCACACGCACATATTTTTGGCTCCCACTTTTATATATATATATATATATATATATTTTTTTTTTTTTTTTTCGGGGGGGGGGGGCGGGAAGACTGCAGGGAACGTCAGAACCCCGCCTCAGCCTCCAGCTTCCGGGCCAGGAAGGCTTCGTGGCTCTATGGCTTTTGTTGGCTCCTGGGAACTTCAGGCAGAAGAGATTGAGATTGCCTGGAGAGTGCGGACATGTCAGGGGGCTGAGGCAACGGCTGTTCTGCCCGCTGAGACTCGCAAGAAGAGGCCCGTGAGCCCCAACACTGCTGGAGCAAGGCCAAGAGAGCTCAGACTTTGCCAAAGCTGGAAGAGCTTGCTGAGAAAGAGGAGGCTCTGGACTCCTGGGTTCACTCGCAGAGATATGGGAGCTGTCATGCGAAGTCCAAACGAATGCAGAGCGGCTGAAGTGAAAATTCCAGACGGCCAGGCGCCTCGAAGCCAAGGACCCGCCCTGGAGCGCAGCACCTTCAAGCTTGCATCAAAGCTGTCCAGAGGTGATAATGTCCTAAAGGCTGTGCCATGCTCTGTGAATCCTTCGGCCTGCTGCAGCACACTCCGCCAGGATTGCCACGCGGTTCACAGCTGTGCCCAAGGCAAAGTTAGCGGAGCGGATCATATTCAGGCTGCGCCCAACGAACAACAACCTGCGAATCTGTGAGGCTTCCACAGTTTTGAGCAAGCTGCTAGCAGCTAGCACCAACCGCCAGCCAACCCCCTCTACCTTGTTCTGGGCTATTGCATCTGAATCTGACATGTGGTGCTTTGCTTGCTGCCGGATGCTGAGGTGGGACATGCCTGGGCCTAGACAAGAGAAGAACCAACCCGAGCTGCACGAGCTGAGCACCCAACTCTCGTGGGAAGGCGGCTGTATCTCCCAGAACCTTCTTCGCACGGGCCTTCAGCTTCTGCTGAGCTTCGGCCATTGCTTTCGCAGTGAGCTTCTTCGGGGCGTGCGGCATCACATCAGCCTTCTTGTTGCCCCGCGACCCAAAAAGAGAGGCCATGGCGTCCAGTCTTTGGGCCCCTAAGCGCACCCGTCGGAACTGAGTCAATGAGGCAAAGAGCTCTGCAGCATCTTGATCAGCAATGCCCCACTGACTGCAGATTCGGACCGTGGATGCGGTGTCCCCCAAAGCAGCTGCCACCCAAAAGTCTGCGTAGTCACGGCCTTTGCACTCGAGAGTTCCGAGAATACATGACGGAAAGCTACTGGCACAAACTTGTCCGCAATGGCCACAAGTCCAAGGCACGCAAAGCCGGGCTCAATTCGCAGTAGAGGCCATGATCTAGAAGGACCAGCTGCCATTTCTCAGAGCTCTCTGCAGGAGCCAATCGCACCAACAAGTTTCCGGGGTGGGGATCGCAATGCACGTGGCCTGTGCTGAAGATCTGATATCCGAAGACCTTGCGCTTCAGAGTGCCCGAAAGGCAGAACATGAGGTCAGGATAAATCTGGAAAGTAAGTTGTTGAAAAATTCCCGAAGCTAAGCTCCAAGGCTTCCGTTGCCGTCCGCATCACATCTACAGGGCGAAGCCCTGCTTTCTTCAAGGAATTGCTATCGCTGGCAGGGCCCAAGGAGTCCACCCACTCCATGACCAGTACGTGTTCTCCCGAAACCTTCCTCGGCTTGGGGGATTCAATCCATCCTGTCGGCAAGGACACCAGAAATCGATGATAATTGATGCCGAGATGCCCCTGAACAGCTGGTACGATGACCTTTCCACGGAACTGACTGCACGCGTCCTGAATGTCAAGGACAGCTGGAATGAACATGAACCAGTCGCGTGCAATCAGAGCATACTTTCAGGAAGGCATTCGTGCTCCGAGGAAGCTTTGGGATCATAGTTGCAACAGGCCAGACAATCCCTTCAACCTTTGCATCGCTGTAGCGGGCCAGTAAGATCCCAATTGTACCTTCACAATCCTGGCTGTGAAGGTTGCACCGAGACCAAGACGGCCATCTTGCGGCTTTGCTGCCAAGTCCGCACCCCGACTTATCTCCATGTGTGCATGTCCAGCCAAGGGTCCAGCTCTTCAGCTGCCTGCCGGGCATGTCGCGCCTGACCACATCCGAGCATTGCACTTCTGCCGTTTGCCGCGCAATCGCCCTCCCTACGGTTATTTGCCCCGGTAGCCGCTTCGATTCTTCCGAAGCTTCTGCTAGCATCTTCACTTTAGACTTTCGCTCGCTCATCCTGAGCTGGCGTTGTTGCCCAAGGCTGTGCTGTTGCAAACCCAGGCTGCCGTCCCACGACATCTGCTACAGCAGTCACACGAGGCATGAAGACCGGACTGACGGACAATGAGCCACGGCCACATGATTGGGCTAATGACTACCGTCACTACACACCAGATCGTATCCATACAAACCGCCACACTCGGTGCCTGTGAGTTTGTGCTTATTGGCCCCTGGCCTCTATGCGGAAGTCGAGCTCTGCTTCCAGTTGCTGGCGCGTGTAGCCATATGTCCAAACCTTGGGATCGCAAGTCCAACTGTCCAAGAAAAAAAGAGGCAGAGTTGTTGGCAGCAGCGTGAGTGTCGGCATTTTTTGGTTTGAGACATCAGCCTTGGGAGCCCATTTTGGTGTGCAATACTAAGACCGAGACCATCGGCAAATCGAAGGCATACTCCAAGACGGTCAGCACGAGCTTATACACCGCAAGGTCGCATCTATTCTGGGCCGGGATGTTTGGCTTCCTTAGTGTCTTTTCTCTGCAGATGATAGCAGGGGCACCTTGAGCTCCGTGCTACATAGTTGGGAGACAACCTACAAGTAAAAAGCACCTCTTCATGGAAATGTGATGCCTTTCGCACAGAACACTGCGCCAAGCGTCTGAATTTTGACTGCCACCGCCAAGGGTTCGTTGCCTTCATGCCCCTCTGCAAACTCTGGCCGTAGTTGTGCACGGTGCACTTGCGCAATGCTGGCAGAAGCAATGGGAGTCTCCTCGAATTCCGAGAACACCTCGCTCAGGCTTTGGCCCAGTTGCGACTCAACAACCCTCCGGACTTCTTTGAACTCAAAAGTCGCGGCTTGGTCATGCAATGTCTTGAGCTCGGACTTGTATTCCTCTGGCAGAATAACGTCCTGAGCAGGAAGATGCGTTTCACATAGCATTGCTGTCGAAACCCATTCGCCGGTTGATCTGATTGAAAGCTGGGCCGGCAACTAAGGCACGGTCCATCGTTGACATTGCCTGGCCAAACTTGACGTACAAACCTTCATTACGGCGCAGGCATTCCACCAGGCGTTTGGCAACCTTGGCATGAACATCGTTCGAAGTCTCAGGCGTCCAGCAGACCTTGTACCTCGGTTGAGGTGCACAGTCGGAAGATCCAATCAGTTGCTGTAGAGACGAAAGCTGGTGGAAGGTGGCAAACAGGCCGTCGCCGCGTCAGAAAGCAAGAAACGTCTCGTACTTTGCACGGGCCCCAAACTCTCTCGCTATACTAATTATAGAACCCGAACCATCCCAAAGCCCCATGCCATGGCCATGGTGCTGCCAAAGCAAGTACACACCCGTCTGCACTGTTCGTGCAGTTCGCTGGCCCACTTGGTGGAGGCAGAACTCCTCAGTGCACTTCCGTTGAAATTCAGAACTGAGCAGCTGAAACCGTCTCAGATTCGCGTGTGTCCAGGGACCATGACCATGATGCCCTCCGAAGGCTGCGTTTAACAAAGATCGATTGCACTGTGCGCACGGCTCTAGCCTACAGTATCGAACTTTCCCCCAGTGACCACCGGGCATCGTCAGTGGCCCACGCAGCTCCCAACAAGCCGGTTGCAGGCAGCGCGTAGCGGCGGACCGTGCGAAGTGCAGCCGCCATCACAGGAAAGTGAAATGTTTATCTGTTGGGTTGCTGTCCTTCCATGCTACCAGCACCAGCAAAGCAGCTTTGCTTGTGTGCTGCGTCACAGGTCACTTATCTGCATGCTGCATAATGCATCATGCACATTCTACATGCTGCCCGGGAATCTGCATTTTCTCATCATTGGGAACAAAGACTGCGCAGATTCTATCAGCAAGCGCAGCCGCAGACCCTGTCGCATGCATATGCAGGCCCGGAACACTCGGGCAAAACTAGGGCACGAAATCCAACCAAAAGCGTGTCTTGTATCCCCGAGATGGCACCGAGGACAGAGAGAGAGAGACAGAGAGAGAGAGAGAGAGAGAGAGAGAGAGAGAGATATATATATATGTGTATATATATATATGGATAATTATATACATAGATATAGATATAGAGATATGTACATGCAATTAAGCAAAAACACCTGTATGCAATATACATCGAGATACATGCAAATATGTAATTCAAGCTGGACCCCTTTCTGCCTTCGGCCCAGTCAGCTTGGAGTAACTTTGGCAGAAGCCGCTGAGGGTGAAGAACCTCTCAGTGCAAAATCCAGCCAGCTTCTAGCCTGCGGATGAAGGCAGAATAAGGGGTTGCGGCATCGGAGCGGCAAGAAGACCCCAGCTTGAAAGCGTGGAGAGGGTATCCTGGCCAGCAGCGTGTCGGGAATGCATGAAATTTCGAGCCCCTCGAGAGATATCTTACCACGATCACGACAATCAATTGCCGCAGCGCCGCGGCAATTCAATTGAGCCCATGTCCCAAGACTGTGTGCGGAGACGGCATCAGCTGAACTCTAGCACTTTAGCTCCCTGTACATGCTCCAAGCGTCTGAGGCTGAGGCTGCACGACGGCCTCGGCAGCACAAGGACTGTATGAACATTTTCTTATGTCCTGCCTGTGTCTGCAGATAGTCGTACGTCCAGATCGTGTCATCTGCGCAAATTCAGCTGGTTTTAATCATGGCCCGCGGCTCTGCTTTCTAGTCGAAACGGAAATAGGCCGCGCAGTGCATACCGCGTTGCCTTTGTCATGCAGTAAAAAAACAATCTCCTAGGTAGCTGCAGCACCTGGATCCTACGGGCATGGGCCATGGCCCTTTCTCGAGCATAGTGCTTCATCTAACCCATCCAGCATCCTAGCATAGTCACGACACCGATAGAAATATGCGAGCCGCAAATCATATCAGGCACTGCAGCCAAGTGCGTGTGCTGACTACCCCTTGAACTCTGGCCTCTAGGACCGAGATCCAGCTCAAGTCATGGATGCTGGAAACTTCTGCCTTCATAGGAGAGCAGGGATTGAAATCTTTATACACATCCAAATCGAGCTTTGCATCAGTCGGGAACGATGTGACGTGAGGCGGATGCATGCCTGCACGCCCTGTACGTCAAGGGGACGTTTGTACGTCCTGCCATTCATGGCAACATTGAAAGTGGAATTCCTGTTTAAGCGCCGGGACATATCTTCCAGCCTTTGGCCACCCCACGAACATCCGAGACCCACATTATGTCTGTGAAGGGCGTGATTCCAGCTGGGCTTTCATGGCCAGAAAACGATCTGCAATTCAAAAGCATTTGATCAAATCCTGGCTCAGTTGCAAATTCTTCGACTCGAATGGGAACTGCCGAAGAGGCGTTAACTCGAATGAAGCAGAAAGAATTAATGGAGTAGTTGCTTGGGAAATCTGGACTGCTTATGCACCTTGAGGCATCCATAGTGCATGGCCCAGACGTGATCGTCCACATGGCGCCATGGAAGTCAACGGGATCTGCTAGAGCTGAGTTTTTGCCAGCCAGGGTGTCATGGATCCAGCTCAGGGCTTTCGTGACACGGCTGTAAACTCCAGGGAATTTCTCGGAAGCACAGCCCAAACCCCAGGAAGTTATGCCACGAACCACGTAGCGATCATCTTCCTTGCAAACGAGCGGTCCGCCACTGTCCCCGTAGCACGCATCCGTGATGCCGGCCGCTGACTTTCCCGAAGCGCACAACATGGCAGCAGTGATGGTGGCATTGTGTGCTGCATAGTCCTTGACGCAGTCTTGCTGGGACAGCGTAGACACAGAACCTTCCTGCAGCGTGCTAGGTGCATCCCCTGCATCTTGGGATGCACCCCAGCCGGTAATGCTGCACTGCTGTGCCCAACCTGCGCGGTCACCATCGCTGCCGTCTGCCTGAGGCAAGCAAGCTACGCCAATGCATTCGTTCATGGGCAACTGCTCGTCCAGCTCTACCAGCGCAAAGTCATAATCCGAAGGAGCGGCATGACCATACCTTCAGGGATGCTGCAAAGCTTCTGAAGTCTTGCAACGGACTGTTGCACTAGATCAATACTGATTTCGATCTGTGACATCAGTGGCAGTTGCTTGCCCCAGTATGCAAGAGTCCAGCCTCGGGTGCTTGTGCACGCGCACTACACCACGCTCAGCGGAGGTTCCCTCTCGCAGCCTGGATTCTGAGCTGTGCTTCCAAGCTCCAGCAATGACCCTGACAAATCGCAGGTCGCACTGAGAGAAGGAGCCCACGCAGTGTGCAGCTGTCAACACCCACTTGCCATCGATGAGAGTCCCTCCACAGAAGTGGCTGGACTTAGTAGTGTTTTTGCGCACATCATGCAAGCTGACCTGCCATCTCCAAGTGCATCTTGCAGCGCTTTTCCCGTGCATGATGCGGCTACCATCATCCTGCGAATGTCCCAGTACGCCACACTGGCTAAGGTCTGGTTTTTGGGTCGCCCTCCTTTGAATTGCCCCTCGCAGCTGCGCATCCGGCGTTGGGCTTGCGCTGGACAGACCTGAGCCAGGGGCCATGGGCATGCAATTCGCTGCTCTTCTTCGAGTCTCGAAACGGTCTGGTTAGGTTCTGCGATTGTGCACACTCTCAAGCCAAGGCCATGGCAAAGGGCGAGGCATAGGGCAGCAGGGCGCATCCACTCACCAGGCCACGCCATGCTTTGCTCGGCACAGAAACATGTGCTGCAAACTAAAAGGTCTAAGGGCTCTTGGGGCCCCTTTTATCTATGAGCCGAACCCCGACAGGCCGACAGGGCAGGTGCTTTTCCTGAAGCCATGTCTGGCCAACCTCCATGTCGCGTGGCCCCGCTGAGGCAAACGCTCTTAACTTCCTGGGTTGACCATGGGTAGAAGTTGTACAGCAAAACCATGCCGGACCTGGAGGCTGCGAGGTGCCAAGCTTGTAATGTAAGATCATGGAGCTAGGAACATCTAAACTTTCTTCAAGGTCTTTCAATCAGCAAAACTCAAGCATCTGATTGCAAAGCTACAGTTGCAGCTGCTCCCAGATTCGGGATGATTCGGGTCGGGCAAAAGGTATCCGGTATCAGACTTGAGGGCAGGGCGGACGAAATCCAGGGGGAGTGATGTGGCAGCTGATAGTGGTAAACAAACGTGCAGTGCTCCTTGTATGCTGCATAGCAGGCTGTCATGACCCCTCAGCCTAAGCCTGTGCTGAACGGCGCTGGTTCCTCAATGCAAGAACCAATAACAACAACTCCGACATGCTTGTTCGCCCTCTGGTGTTGTTCTTTCTTTCTGTCGTTATGTCTTTGTGTGTTTGGTTCATTCTCCTTTCTCTCCCTCCTCCTTTCTGTCTCTCCTTCGGGTTTCTTTCTTTCGTTCTTTCTTGCACATCTTGCACGCCCCCGCCCGCCCCCCTCCAAGAACCAGCACAACAACAATAGGGTCCCCTTGACCTTCCTACAAACTCGTCGATGCTTCTGCTTGTCAACAATACGTCGGGAAAGAAGCCCACGGTGAACATAACACAGTCTTAGTCAATGCTGCTGTCATCGCATATGCATGCTGCGGCGGCTCTGCCGTTGTGCTGACCCCTTCATAAGGTGGAGGGGGCGCCCTGCATGGAGCTCTTGGAGTCTCGTTTGACCCAAACCAAGTCACTCTTTGAACAACAACTCCCGCAAGCTTTCGTGATTTGTGCATTTCCGAAGGTGTGGAAAGAACCAGGAGGCCGTGGCTGTTCCGAAATCGCTGCAACCAACCCGATATTCCCATGGACTTCCGTGATGAAGTCACAGGACATGTGTCTGCAGATTCAGTGCCACAAAGCCCCAGGCAACACGAAGCGCAGCACTCCAAGAGCTGGGAAATGATGGTACTGGTCCTGCGAATACCCACGCCGAAGTGTATGAACACGCAAGGGCTCATTTAGGAGGACGGCTCTCAAGTAGGTTTGGCAAAATGTCTACTGAGTCCTGGTCTTGCTCCGTCCTTGGTACCTTTCCACCGATCTGCGATTGACCGATGCGCAAACTTAAAATCTAAGGCGCATAACGTCTGGGCGGCCGACCCCAACATTTGGATCTTTCTCTCCCCGCAGCGTTAGAAGATGCTCAATGCCTCGGAAGCGGTTGTCACTTTGAACAACCTCACCTGGGATGAACACTCACAAGGAGCAAGCGGACATGCCCGGTGGAGTGACGCTGAACCGCTCCAATGAAGCTGTGGCCGAGCTGCCCCAGCACGCGCCAACGCCCACGAAGAGCATCAGAACGCAAGCGGCGCTGGCGGTTGTCAGACGATTCGATTCTACGCAAGTCTGCTTGCTCCAAGCTTATGAAAGAACTACCCTCACATGGAAGGTTCCAGCATCTTCGCCATTTACCCGGCTCTATCCACCCTCGCTGCGGCCTCGAGTGCCTCAATACTCGCACGTTCGGGTACCGTCTCTGCTCTGGCCTCCAAGCTGCACTTCGGAAGGACCGATTCGCCTGCAGCCACAGGGCTATGTTGTTCTTGTCCTACTGGCATACAGCATGAAGGAACGGGTGGACACCCTGTCTTCCTATGCTATCTTCTACCGGGCTTGGGAGACTCAGCGGGCGCTTGCTGGGGAATGGACTTGCACGAACAGCCCCTCGTTCAGGCAGTGTTTTGCGAAGCTTCACTTACCTGTCTCGCTGCCTGAGAGTTGTAACATGCTGTAAACATGGG